ATCTGCTATTTAGGTTAGAATACGGCTAGTGCCTAATTGACCTATGGTGGAGCAATACGGCAAGAAATAAGGGCTGGCGACTAGTTAATACTCCTCGTTAATTGCTCTTATAGCTGTAGTCTTATATTTTATATACTGATCATAAAATCATATTACCTTTTTTAATTAATAGGACCTAAGCCGGCCCTGTATAAGTTCTCGCCTTACAACACTGTGGTTGCCCGATACCTGCGTTTCATTTTTCAATTGTAACCAAATAAAGAGTAAAAAGCATAATAATAGTGAATTAAATCTGCCTTTTCTCGGCAGAAAAAAGTTATAGTAACAAGAAACTTTTTCAGAAGCGGTTTAATCTGAAATCACGTATGAAATACTGTTTGTGGCATTCCTCGGATTCTGTTCGGTTATTGAACAATTTAATAGATTTTAGCGGTTTTGTTTGCTATATTGGGGACATAGGAAGTGACGAATAAGTGTGCTTTAAGATCTTTGTTGAGTTTGTAGATGAAGATAGGTAAGCTGTGTTTTGTGTAACAATTTTTGTGCTTTATACGATTTTGTTTTAATAACAACTATGTTTTGTAAGGTTCTTAATAATAATCAACTTTTTGTATAACCCTTTTTCTTCTAGTACCAGCTATTCTTATTTTAAAAACTTCTGTTCTAAAAAGTTTACGAACTTTTAAAATGGATTTTTTCTTTTGTTTGCAATTGCTGTAATATTTTAAGCCATTTTTTTACCTTATAGCAAATTTTTCGTCTTCTCAATTGCTATCCACATCAAATCCACCCAAACAATAATTACATCAAAACAAACTCTAACACATGAACTTACCTAAGACATGAATACGTTTATTCAGTTTATGTCGATGATACTTTTCAACATAGAGCCTTTCTTTGTAATGAGATTTCACAAAATATATACCGCCACGCCATATCTACATCGACGCGGAATCATACCATAAATCTAAGATTCATCCAAACTCGATACTAATCCTCGTCATATCCTCGGAAGCACTCAGCTTCCAGAGGTAACTCACTCGCTAACCACTATCTACAATCCCAAAACACACATTAGCCTGAATTAAAGTTAGCGGTGTTAACACATTGATGATTATTTAAAGAAAAACAAAGATTTAATGCAAACCTGTACATTCACAATACCGAAATCGAACGGGTGGACAAATATAAATATTTGGGAACAAGTGTTAATAACAACAATGACATCACAGAAGAAATAAAAACTAGAATTGGAAAGGCTCGAGCTGCTTTTGTTAATATGCATAATACGCGCAAAAAGTGCCTCCTTGGTTTCCATCTATCTATCTATCTATCTATCTATACAGCCCTAAACATCTATCCATCTTTCTGTCTTTACTATTTTTTCCATATTTTCCTTTGTAAACGTCCATGTCTTAGAGCCATATGTGAGGACAGGTAGTATACACTGATTGAAGACTCTCGTTTTTAGGTATTGGGGGTATTTGAATTCTTCAGAATATAAAACAGTTTTCCGAATGATGCCTAGGCCAATCTTATTCTTCTCTTTGTTTCTTCGGTTTGATTTTCTTTATTTAATTTAGTGATTTGGCCTAGATATGTATACTCTTTTACTTGTTCTAATCTTGTTTGTGCCACTGTAATTATTAGTTCTTCTGGTTGATTAGTCAAGGTTTTTGTTTTATTGTTATTCATCTTGAGTCCAATTTTTGTCGATTCTCTATCTAGTTCTTCCATCATTCTTTGGTATTCTTTACTTTTTACTGTTAATAATACAATATCATCAGCATATCGTAAATGATTCACATTTTGCCCGTTTATGTTAATTCCCAAGCCATTCCAGTGTAGTCGTTTGAAAACATCTTCTAGCGCTTGGGCGTGATGGTATCTCCTTGTCTTACTCCTCGGTTTATTTTCATAGGCTCCGTTTGTTTCATTAGCTTAATAGTTGTTGTTGCCTTGTTGTATATATTTGTAATTAAGTCGTTATATCGGTAGTCTATTCTGCTGTTTTGTAGGGAATTCTGTACTGCCTAGTGTTCCACACTATCAAATGCCTTCTCGCAGTCAATAAATGCCATGTATAGCGGGATATGATATTCGTTGGTTTTTTCGATTAAAATCTTCATCGTTAAAAGGTGGTCACTTGTACTGAAGCTCTTTTTAAATCCGGCTTGTTGTCTTGCCTGGTATCCATCTAATTTAGTTGTTAATCTATATGTTAATATTTTGGTTAATAGTTTGTACATCACATTTAGTAAAGTTATGGGCCTGTAATTCTTTAGATCCTTTTTATCTCCTTTCTTAAATAGTAATAGTATTATTGCTTCGTTCCAACCATTGGGTATTTGTTTTGTCATTAGTATTTTATTCATAAGTATGTACAAAACTTCTCTAGTTGTTTTCCCACCATGTTTTAGCATTTCTACAGTCACCCCGTCTTTTCCTGGCAATTTATTATTCTTCATCTCTTTGAGTGCTCTTCTTATCTCGTTCTTACTGATTTCTGGTTGTAAGTCGGAATTAACATTTTTTATTTTTATTTGTAGTTGCTTAAGGATTTCTTGGGTTGGTTTCTGTTTTGTATTGTAGAGGTTTTTATAATACTCTTGTGTTATTGGTATGATTTCTTCTATATTATTGGTCTCTGTACCTTCTTTGTTCTTTATGCCATTAATTTGTATGGTTTCAAGGTGTGGTTTTAAGCACTTCATGTTTTTATTTTGTTTAACTGCTTTTTCTATTTTTCTTCCTGTGCGCTCCTTTTATATTCCTTGATATTCTTGATGATAGCTTTGTTTACCTCTGTATAATCTACTGTGTTTCTCTTATCTTGTTCCAGTAATGTTTTTCTTTTACTCATGAGATTTTTTGTTTCCTGGGATACATAGTTTTCCTTTTTTATTCTTGTTTGTGCTACCTCTTTTCCCGCCTTTGCTAATGTATAAGTTAATAGCTGATTTATTTCATCGATATTTTTGTTTTCCTAATCTCTAGTGACCGGTATACTTTCCTGTATTATTTGTTTATATTCGTCTTTTGATTGCTTAAGTTTTGGTTCCCATAGCATTTGTAAAACCAAATTAGGTATCTTGAAGATCTTTTTCGCATTTGCGTCTAATTTCTAAATTTAAGAGTGTGGCTCATTAGGCGAATTAATCGATATTCTGAGCATTTTCTCGCATTGTGTTTTTTAGGTATTGCGACAAAGATTAATTTGAGCCAATCTGTGGGAATCACTCCAGTGTTATATATTGAATTAAAAAGTCTCACTACTACTTTTATGTTATTATTTTTTATGAGTTTTAGCAACTCAGTTGGTGTATCATCTGGACCACAATCTTTTCTAATTTATAGCGTGTTCTACCTCGCATTTAATAATTTCTGGGCCATCAGTACAATTTTGGTAGAATTCGGCAATATTATTCCTATCATCTTCAAACAACTCTGATATATACAGTATAAAAAGTTCATGTAGACAAAAAAAACAATTAATACCAGTAATATGCTATATTAATTTAAAAAACAACTAAAACCTAAATCAACAACCAATATAGCAATACTTTATAGTCATACTTTAATATAATCACAGAGCTTTATACGAACAGTTCAGTCTTACTATGCCTATTTATGTAAATGTTCCTCCTTGGATGATCAAATCTCCAAAAATCGATACGTCTCTAAAAGAACTCCCGAAACATTCCACACATCCTTTCCTTATACAGCAAGCTTATAAAAATATAATATCCAAATACCCAACAACCCATCAAATCTTCACTGATGCTTCCAAATGTGATGAAGGACATGCTGCAGCCTACATCTACGAAAACGTCAAGTCTACCATACGAATCCCAACAAATTGTTGTACATATACCGGAGAACTTACGGCAATTCACCAGGCTTTGAAAAAGCGTGGTGGCGAAAATGTGGTTCTATCAATGAAAGCAAATTTGTTATCATCACCGATTCAATGAACGCATTACTTGGAATAAAACAGCTATTTACAACTCACGCCATACTTCTCAATATCAAAGAAGAGTTATCTTATCTACAGAGTCAACAAAAAGATATTTCCTTCATCTGGGTACCTTTCCATATAGGAATAAGTAGTAATGAGGAAGTGTACTCTCTGGCAAGCAATGCAACCACCGACCAAAGTATTCCTATCATAAATCAAATGCCTTGGACTGATCACAAAGTTAATATCAAAGCCCACATGTACAGAGCGTGGCAAACTACTTGGGATCATACTGCCAACAAACTTAAAGAATGTCTAAGTCAAGTAGGAACCAAACTCATCTTACCAAATAATAGAAAAGACCAAGTCATTATCAACCGACTTTGAGTAGGACATACTTTTCTTACCCACAAGCATACCTTCAACCAGGAGGCTGCTCCGGTGTGTACCAAGTGCAACACTCAGTTGTCAGTGAAACATATAATTGTTGAGTGTCCAGTGTACCAGAACGAAAGAATCGCGTGTGCCCTTAGTGACAGTTTAAAAAGTGTACTAACGTCAAATTTACAGTTTTTATTAAAAGTTTTCTTAAAATGACTAAACTATATACGAGATTGTGAAAAATATTCTTTTATGTAACAATATGTATCTTACTGTTTGTGTATGTCCCCCTGCTAATAACAACCCTTAGTGGTTGATGAGGGTATATTTGTTTAAAAAAAAAAAAAAAGTTTTATACTTTAAAAATGTTCTCCTGAACAAAACCAATAATGTAACGTATCAAGTTATTTTTCTGTGGTCTTCAATTGGCCTCTATGAATCTATGACGGATCTTTGCACGAATAAACCTGATAAACCTGGGAGATTTATACTTATATATGATTGAGATGAGATTTTTTTTTGTAATATTTATAATAGTGACACATTTGATAGGAAAGAGTTATAAAACTTGAAACGTTTATTTACATTTATATTTAACTGTAGCATTTATTTATTAGCTTGAACTCTACACCTTATATAAACATATTTTCCATTGCCTTAGGTGCCCTAACTCGTTCCCAGTTCCCGGTGTTTACCATCTATGCTCAGAAGAGTTGTCTCGGGGTGAAACCTTGCGAGAGAGCTTGGTGTATAGACCGAGTGCAAAATCACCGACTGACAGGATATGTAAGCAGCCGGCAAGTCGTTGGATCCCGTCAAGAGTGCCTTGAATTATGCCTTGGGGAGAGCGAATTCTCGTGCAGGTATGTAAAAAACAATTGTAATAGTATAGAGATGGGGATGTTAATTAAGAATAGACATAAGCTGTGTAGGCTCATTGATATTGGGATATATTGCTAGAGAGAAGAAATTTGGATTAAATGTAAAAACGTTTTTTATAAAAAATTAATGATCCAGGATTTTGTCTTGTAGAGTAACATGAGAAACACTTAGCAGTTTAATATAATCTGAACATTAGTTGGTAATTAATACAGTCCACACAAATAATTGCATTGATTGACAATTGAAATATAAACAATATTATGTTTAATTTGTCTATTTATTAAATTATAAATGATTTTGACCAAAAAATTATTTTTTGTTGTTAAATGTAAAGGTTTTAATAACTAAACCTATTTAAATAGATTTTTTTTAACTTTTCAGTCAATATATTTTCAGTTTAACAGTTTTTTGCCAATTTTCAAACAAAATTTTTAATATTAAGACATTTGGTAATTAGCAAATACTTTAAATTTAATAATGTAGTATGGTTTCTCATGTTCTTTTTTTTTTTGTTATTGGTTTAAGGGTAATTACCCACACAGCCAGACACAAATTTTTAAAAACAGATACAATACAAAGATTATACAGGGATTACACTCTTCTCGCCCAGAGGCCGATCAGGACATTTTTATAAACGATAAAAGGTAGGCCTCGGACAGATAGGTACACATACATTAAGGTAATCAACAAAGGTGGTTATATTTTTATATTCGTTGTTCTGACGAAAGACAGCAAACAATCGTAAATTTCTTCTCTGTCTAAAGCAAGAAGATGCAGTAAAAGGTATACGAGCTTTCAATGTTTAATTTTTAAAAGTTTTCTGAAAGCTCATTAGATTGAGCTCTATATTTTAAACAATCAAAAACGATGTGACTAGGCACAGCCACCTTTACTTCCAAGCCATGAAGTAAAAAAGGCAACACCGCATTCTATGACGTCGGTAGTCCGATAATCAGCTGTAAGGTCTACCAGAATATTAAACTAATTTGAATTTTAGGAAACTGATATTTTGAAAACTTCAATTCATTACAGAAATATTTTTAGGGAAATTAAATTAATAAAACCTTATATATACCTAGTAAATATATATAAAGTTTTATTATTATTTAGGTTATATTATCAATAAAATATCACTAGAGTAAAATTTATTGCACTTAAAATACAGTGTCAAACAGTTAATCTTACAATCAAATACAGTCAAGAATCTCTAGAAATTTTAAAACACAAAAACTTAGTGTAACTATTATGATTAAAAAATTCATCCTAAGAAATCAGACACAATATAAATATGGTTCTAAATTAATCTAATTGAAAATTAAATATTTTACTATTTACTTATAACTTTTGTTGAATTTTCATACATGATATACAAAAGTAGCAATTTTAAATATGAATAGGTTTGTTGTCATATAGACCAACTTAAAAGAGGTATACATGAAAAACGTGTTGAATGTAACATAGCATTTATAACTTGTATATCGATTTAAAATAGCCTATATTCTCAAAAGATTTTTGAATGTAATACTCAAATTTGTTATCACTTATCTAGAAAGCAGATCTAAATGAGAAAGTAAGTTCTCTAATTGTGACCATCTTGTTAATTTACTGTATTGTAAAATCCATTTCAAATCATTACCACTTAATCTATTCTTACCTACATTGACAATTACACTAAAATTACTGCTAACTATTACACTACATATTACACAAATATTATCACACTTGTGTCCCAACTGATTAATGTTTAATACATAGAAATATCACAGTCACTTGTAATTTTACTTGTCCAGTTTTTCAATGGGATATTATTGTCTAAGTCTAATTGACATAATTATGTTATCTCTTGTTCCCTCTTCTTATGCAAAAAGTTTCTTCTGTCTTCGGGATTCCTTCTTTCTTAAGTACGATGAACAGTTACATATGATGGTACTTCAGGAAATATATTAGGAACTGCATTGCCTTTTAATTTGGGATATATTAACTTTTCAATGTGTACATTTCCATCTTTATCTTCTCATTGTTCAGTCCGCTGAATATCATCTTCATGAAAATGTTTGGCACATACTACGGAAATTTGGTAATTGTACAGCCTTCTCTATGAATAGAGCATAACCCAGTATACCTTCTTTGGGGATCTTTGGGAAACAAAAACGTACTTTCTGCCTGTTTCGTTTTTAAAGTACTGGCATAATTGGTTTTGCAACCAGGTACACAACAATGCCAGAGCATCTGTAACAAAAAACAAAAGTATTATTATTGTTGTTTTTAGTTTACATATTTTGTAACAAGAAGCAAAAGTATTATTATTTTCAGTTTGTTTTGTAGGTTATATTATACTTGCCTTTTAAATTGTCGTTAAGAATCTTCTAAAAGTTCTAAATTTAATGAAATTTCACTTATATTAATATTTTCTAATTGATGTAAACACAATTTACAAATAAAACATTCGAATAAAGTTAAAAAAACAATAAATTCAACAAACTTTACAAGCCTTCCTATATGAAATGTTAAACCAAAACAAACCACAGTCGGACTACCACGCGTTGTTGCCAATTTCTACTTCATGGCTTGGAAGTAAAGGTGGCTGTGGGCTAGGTCACCGATTTTATTACAAGCTTCAAAAATATCACTCTTAAGTATTTTTATTTTAAATAAATGTGCTGGATAACATGCGTGACCAAAGTTCATTCTGCTGGTAGTAGTTATACTTTTTCGACTGTAATCGTACTCATTGGACAAAGGTTTCTCCTTAATTTGGTTTCAAGTCTGGTGTAACGTGTTGGATTTGTAAAGGTGTACTTTTGCCATAAATATGACCATTTCTCTATCATTCTCTGTTTTGCTTAGATTATTTATTCATCTGTGGTTAATTCGTAATTTATTTGTTCCCCCATTAATATGCCTTCTTTGGCAATTTGATCTGCAATTTAATTGTTTGTTATTCCTGCGTGGAATGTAGATGGAGATGAAATGGAGATAGGCAGGACATGTTGCAAGAATGAAAGACGACAGTTGGACAAAAAAATTGCTTGAGTGGAGACCACGGGCTGACAAGCGAAGCTGAGGAAGACCCCCAAAGCCAATGGATAGCAGAGGTGCAGAACAGAAGCAGATGGAAAAGTCTAGAGGAGGCCTATGTTCAACAATGGACAACTCAGGGCTGATTGACGATGATGATGTTATTCCTGCTTGTGCTTTGACCCAGAAGAATTTTGTATATTTATTTTAAATGTTGGATGCTAAAAATAATGTCATTGTTTGTGTTTGAGTTTGATTTTAAAATATTGAGAACGGAAAGTAAATCGGTAAAGATTATATTATTCTGATTCTCTTCCTGATGAACATATTCTAGTTCTTTTAGAATTGCTATTGCCTTAGCTGTAGTAAAAATAGATGTGGTTTTGTTTAACTTATATTTTTTTGTATATGTTTAGGTTTTACGAAAGCGCAACTTGTACCATCGGTGTTTTTTGATCCATCATTGTGAAGTAGTTTGAATGTTCCTCTAAAATTTGATTTATGGCTATACTATTAAATCACACTAACTCCAAATAAGGGGGTATATTCACATCATAGGAGGAAACAAAGTGATCAAAGTAGTCGTTCCCTACCTTTGTTTGTGGTTTTAAGGTCACTTAGTAATATTCTGAAGCTATTTTCTTGTGGTGTTTTAAAGTAATTGCTATTTAAATGGGAATAAGCCACAATTAAAGGTTAAAATACGTTTATTGGCGTTTTAATTTCCACTTCTGATGTCCAAAGTGGAAATTGAAACATCAATAAATGTATTTTAACCTTTAATTGTGGCTTATTCCCATTTAAATAACAATTACTTTAAGGTCACGTTTCTTAATCCATCACAAATAGGAGGAAAATTTTTATGAATACAAAAAGGCTTAGTTAGTTCGTGTTGTTTGACTTATATATGCTGCTAATGAATGGTGAGTTTTTCTTTAGCGACATAACAATCATTTTTTCGGCTAAAAATGATCTTCTTATTTCTAATGGAGGATCGATTGCTTCAGCTCTTAAAGGTTTAACTGGTGTAGATTTCTTTGCTCCTAGACATATTCTAAGTGATTTGTTTTGTATAATATCCAGCTAACATAAATTTGTTATGATATTGGCTGCTTCATAAAGTGTACAACCATTAATCATTTATTAATCTAATGTAAGCTTTAGAGAAGATTGGAGCTGTTTGAGGTTCTGCATCCCACCAAGTTCGCATAATAGATTTTAAAAAGTTTAGCCCTTTATTGCATTTTGTCTCTATGTGTTCAATATGAAGTTTCCAGGTCAATTTTCTGTCTAATGTGATTCCTAAGTATTTGACATTGGTATCCACCTGAAATGCTGTACCATCTATTGTAATTTTCTGCATCAGTTTCATGTTATGCCTGGTAAAAATTATAATTTTGAATTTTTCTGCTGAAATTTGTAGTCCTAAATCACTTATGGATTTTAAAACGAGTTTCCTGCTTGAATTCAAACGATTGGTGCATTCGTCGAGATGTTTGCTACGTGTAGAAACAACAAAATCATCGGCATATTATATAATAGTTGTTTTAGATATGGAGGTGTGTAAATAAGTAGTATTCATATTAAAAAGTAATGGTGCAAGGACAGATTCTTGTGGCAAACCTAAATCTGCAATTTGGTATTTTACTGGTAACTCATAATGTTCCCTGAGTATTACTTGCCTATTTATATATAATTTGCATATCGTATTAGCAATTTCTTAAGAGATTTGTAATTGCAACATTTTTTCCCGTAAGATGAATCAGTTGACATTGTCAAAGGCACCTTTAACATCTAGAAACATTGATCCCTTATACTCGCTTTCAGATAAACGTATTTGTATGTCTGTAACTAAGTGTATATCCGCATCTATGGTGCCAAAATCTTTGTTAAAACCATATTGTGTAGATCGCATGGCCCCTCTTTTGTATTTAACCACCATTTCAATCGGATTTTAATTATT